GAACAGGGGGAAAAGTCGTATACTAAGCTAGCGTCCAGAAAATGTTACCACAACAAGTCACTGTACCCATGCGCCAGTGTAGTAGCCACGGTCGTCCGCAGGCCACGAAGTGAAGTGTCCGAACGTCATAGGGCGGGAAGCTGGGTGTGGGTGGTGGCGAAGAGTCGTTTGGAAATGTGGTAGAGCTTGAACCGGCCCCCCCACAAAGTGGGGGTATTGGCGGGCGTCGTATGAAAACCCTGACACTGGTGAGAACGGAGTGTCCCCACGTGCTCGTAATTGTTGTTGTTGTTGTTGTTGTTGTTGTTGTTGTTGTTGTTGTTGTTGAACTCTCACTCTTGAAGAATAATTATTGTTGATCCCCCCACCGGTGCACATTGTTTTTTTTCGATTGAAGTGCCACCCCCGGGGCTCGCACCTTGTTTTTTCTCAAAGAAAATTTTCCTGCTCAAACTGTGCCCTTGCCCCCCGGGCTACAACAACAACGGCTCCCGCCTGAGACTTCTTCGATTTTTACTCAGGACCCCCGTTCCCGCCTCAGACTTCCGCGCAATTTACTCAGGAAAGGCGCTCCCGTCTGAGACTTCCTCGCAATGTAATCAAGACCCCCGCTCCCGCCTAAGACTTCCGTGCAATTTACGTGGGAACGGCGCTCCCGCCTGAGACTTCTTCGAATTTTACTCAGGACCCCCGCTCCTGCCTGACATTTCCGCGCAATTGACTCAGGAACGGCGCTCCCGCCTGAGACTTCCTCGCAATTTAGTGAGGACCCCCGCTCCCGCCTGAGACTTCCGTGCAATTTGCTCAGGAACGGCGCTCCCGCTTGAGACTTCCTCGCAACTTAGTCAGGGCCCCCGCTTCCGCCTGAGATTTCCTCACAATGTACTCAGGACTGCGCTCTCGCGTGCGACGTCCTCACAAATTATTCTGGAATTGCGTTTCGGCGCTCAGGAACCACGCACGCGCCAAGGACGCCTTCACAACGTGGTATCTTCCCTCTTCCTTCGTCCTTCCCCCTCCCCTTCCTCCCACTCTCCCTCGTTCTTCCCCTCCTCCTCTTGCAGGGCCCGCGCCAATTCCAATGGCGGGCAGAGAGATGTACGCCCCCGAAGGATTGTCCGCCCGTTCCGGTTTGCCCGTACGTCTAAGCCCGCCGGCCCCAGCAAAGAGAAATAATCCCCCCGAAAGGGGTGTGATCGAAGACGAAGAGGGCGGGTATCGAGGGTGTAGGGTATACGTGTTGAATGACTCGCGGGCAAGTAAGAGCGTACAGCCTTAAAATGGTTGTTGTTGTTGTTGTTGTTGTTGTTGTTGTTGTTGTTGTTGTTGTTGAATATTATTACTTCTAAAGAATAATTATTGTTGGGCCCCCTGGTGCACGCCCCCCTCGCCGCGCCTAGGCCGCAGCCACATTTTCATCATTTTCGTGAGGAAGTCTCAGGCAAAACGGGGGAGTCCGGATCCGGTTGTTTTGTTGACGCCCGCTTTCCCTGTCAAAAAACAATATAAAATGACATGTCTTGTTCTAACATAACCAAACTTCAAGAATCCTTTGCAAAAAATGACACGAAGTGCACACTCGCGCGCGCAAGATGAAATCCTTCCAAAACCTTAGTTTTCGTAGCGATTTTAACATAAAAACATGAAAAAAACCCAGTGCTTTTTTTCACAAAAAAATGTTTCAAAAATTCATCCCGCGCGCTCTTGCGGATTTCTCAGGAAACCCAATACTTTTTCAACATTTCTGTCAAACGGGCTCTTGCGAGCAACTTTTTCACGTGCTTCGAACTTCTGCAACAACGGTTGCGCGCCTGCCAGGGCCATCATCCCTGTCAAATAATACCATATGGGACACATTCGTTTTTTCTTCGCGCGCGCACGCCGAAATCTTCAATTGCAGGGGGAAAAGTCGTATACTAAGCTAGCTTACAGAAAATGTTACCACAACAAGTCATTGTACCCATGCGCCAGTGTAGTAGCCAAGGTCGTCCGCAGGCCACGAAGTGAGGTGTCCGAACGTCATAGGGCGGGAAGCTGGGTGTGGGTGGTGGCGAAGAGTCGTTTGGAAATGTGGTAGAGCTTGAACCGGCCCCCCCACAAAGTGGGGGTATTGCCCGCCTCCTATGAAAACCCTGGCACTGGTGAGAACGGAGTGTCCCCACGTGCTAGTAATTGTTGTTGTTGTTGTTGTTGTTGTTGTTGTTGTTGAACTCTCACTCTTGAAAAATAATTATTGTTGATCCCCCCCACCGGTGCACATTGATTTTTTTCGATTGAAGTGCCACCCCTGGGGCTCGCACCTTGTTTTTTCTCAAGGAAAGTCTTCCTGCTCAAACTGTGCCCCTGCCCCCCGGGCTACAACAACAACGGCTCCCGCCTGAGACTTCCTCGAATTTTACTCAGGACCCCCGCTCCCGCCTGAGACTTCCGCGCAATTTACTCAGGAAAGGCGCTCCCGTGTGAGACTTCCTCGCAATGTAATCAAGACCCCCGCTCCCGCCTGAGACTTCCGTGCAATTTACGTGGGAACGGCGCTCCCGCCTGAGACTTCTTCGAATTTTACTCAGGACCCCCGCTCCTGCCTGACATTTCCACGCAATTGACTCAGGAACGGCGCTCCCGCCTGAGACTTCCTCGCAATTTAGTGAGGACCCCCGCTCCCGCCTGAGACTTCCGTGCAATTTGCTCAGGAACGGCGCTCCCGCTTGAGACTTCCTCGCAACTTAGTCAGGGCCCCCGCTTCCGCCTGAGATTTCCTCACAATGTACTCAGGACTGCGCTCTCGCGTGCGACGTCCTCACAAATTATTCTGGAATTGCGTTTCGGCGCTCAGGAACCACGCGCGCGCCAAGGACGCCTTCACAACGTGGTATCTTCCCTCTTCCTTCGTCCTTCCCCCTCCCCTTCCTCCCACTCTCCCTCGTTCTTCCCCTCCTCCTCTTGCAGGGCCCGCGCCAATTCCAATGGCGGGCAGAGAGATGTACGCCCCCGAAGGATTGTCCGCCCGTTCCGGTTTGCCCGTACGTCTAAGCCCGCCGGCCCCAGCAAAGAGAAATAATCCCCCCGAAAGGGGTGTGATCGAAGACGAAGGGGGCGGGTATCGAGGGTGTAGGGTATACGTGTTGAATGACTCGCGGGCAAATAAGAGCGTACAGCCTTAAAATGGTTGTTGTTGTTGAACTCTCATTCTTGAAAAATAATTATTGTTGATCCCCCCCCACCGGTGCACATTGATTTTTTGTCGATTGAAGTGCCACCCCCGGGGCTCGCACCTTGTTTTTTCTCAAGAAAATCTTCCTGCTCAAACTGTGCCCCTGCCCCCCGGGCTACAACAACAACGGCTCCCGCCTGAGACTTCCTCGATTTTTACTCAGGACCCCCGCTCCCGCCTGAGACTTCCGCGCAATTTACTCAAGAAAGGCGCTCCCGTCTGAGACTTCCTCGCAATGTCATCAAGACTCCCGCTCCCGCCTGAGACTTCCGTGCAATTTGCGTGGGAACGGCGCTCCCGCCTGAGACTTCTTCGAATTTTACTCAGGACCCCCGCTCCTGCCTGACATTTCCGCGCACTTGACTCAGGAACGGCGCTCCCGCCTGAGACTTCCTTGCAATTTAGTGAGGACCCCCGCTCCCGCCTGAGACTTCCGTGCAATTTGCTCAGGAACGGCGCTCCCGCTTGAGACTTCTCGCAACTTAGTCAGGGCCCCCGCTTCCGCCTGAGATTTCCTCACAATGTACTCAGGACTGCGCTCTCGCGTGCGACGTCCTCACAAATTATTCTGGAATTGCGTTTCGGCGCTCAGGAACCACGCGCGCGCCAAGGACGCCTTCACAACGTGGTATCTTCCCTCTTCCTTCGTCCTTCCCCCTCCCCTTCCTCCCACTCTCCCTCGTTCTTCCCCTCCTCCTCTTGCAGGGCCCGCGCCAATTCCAATGGCGGGCAGAGAGATGTACGCCCCCGAAGGATTGTCCGCCCGTTCCGGTTTGCCCGTACGTCTAAGCCCGCCGGCCCCAGCAAAGAGAAATAATCCCCCCGAAAGGGGTGTGATCGAAGACGAAGAGGGCGGGTATCGAGGGTGTAGGGTATACGTGTTGAATGACTCGCGGGCAAGTAAGAGCGTACAGCCTTAAAATGGTTGTTGTTGTTGTTGCTGCTGTTGTTGTTGTTGTTGCTTATTTTTCGCCAGATGGCCCAGGATGCTCCTCAATGCTCCTCGCCGAGAAAAAATGCACACGTCCGAGCGATGCCGAGACAAGGAGCTGGTGACCTGTCTGGTGGTGGCCCCTCTGGTGGTGACCCCCCCTGTCGTGCCCGCGGGACTACGAAGAGCGCCGCGGGGCACGAGCGGCCTCACCGACACGAGGCAGGAACGCCCCCTCGCCGGTGACCGAGCGCGGCTGGAGGTGGAGGGCCCGTGCTGGGCCACCCTTCGGGGGCCAGGGAGCAGAGGCGGCATCTCCGAGCCCCGGCCGGGTGGCGGTGGCCCTCTGTCCCAGACCTCTCTGCTCTCTTTCCATGCGGATCTCTGGATTTCTTTGTTGTTCCATGCACTGGTGGTGGTATCTGGGCTTTTTCCGTGCGGCACTCTGGGCCACTTGCCGGGGATCCACTTCTCGTCCCTGGGATCTCGTGTTTCTGACGGTCCTGGGGCCAGGAGAGGGCCACGCCCATCCCCCCGGGCAGCGGGAAGGAGCACCAGATAGCACCAGTACCACGACGCCAGCCGCACGCCGACCGCACGCCGACGGCGGCGGCAGCAGCGGCCACGGCCGCGGCCACGGCCGCGGCGACGGCGACGACGACGACGACGACGACGACGACGACGACGACGACGACGACGACGACGGCGGCAGCGGCGGCGGCGGCGGCGGCGGCGGCGGCGACGACCGCGGCGGCAGCCACGCGCCCAGCGCGGCGCGAGACAGGCGCGGCGGAGGGGGGCGGCCTCCGCGCCGCCCCGCGCGCCGCCGGAGGAGGGCCTGCGCCCGCCCTCGCGCCGCGGCGCCGGCCGCCGCGTGGCGTCGTCGGCGGGCCCGGGGGGCTCCTGCCGACCGCGGCGGCGGGTCGCCGCCGGTCGGCCGCCGCGACGACGGCCGCGACGACGCCGACCACCACCACCACGACCAGCACGGCGACGACGACGACGATGACGACGACGCCACCACCGCCGTCGCCGCCGCCGCCGCCGCCGCCGACGACGACGACGCCACCGCCGCTGCAGCCACCGCCGCAGGGGGCGTCGTCGTGGCCGTGGCCGTCGGCGTCGCCGCAGGAGGCGTCGCCGTCGCCGCCGCCGCGGGCGGCCGCCGCCGCAGGCGATGCGCCCCAGGAGATCGTCGTCGTCGTCGTCGCCGTCGCCGTCGCCGTCGCCGCCGCCGCCGCCGTCGTCGCCCTCGTCGCCGTCGCCGTCGCCAGCCGACTATCGTCGTCCATGGGCCATCGTCTGTGGCCTGCGGCCGTCGCCGCCGCCGCTGCCGCTGTCGCCCTCGCGGCCGTGGACGTCGTTGTCGTCGTGCCTGCTGGGGCCCGCTTGGGCTGCCTCCGGGGGCTGTCCCCGTGCGGAGCGTAAGCCCAGGCCCTGTCAGGGAGGGGAGCGCGAAGCTTCCTTGCAGACAAGCGCGCTCCACCACTCGCAGAGCCACCATTCTCGCAGATGGCCCGGATCCGCCGCCGGGGAGCTACGATCCACTACGCAGGGGAAGGCATGGCTTTGTTTTTGTTCGGGCGTTTGCGGCGAGCAGGCGCTGTGCGAGCAGTGGAGCGCGCTCGGGGATTCTAGGCGTAGGTCGGGCATGTCCCCCTATACAGGCGGATCTTGGACAAAAAATCAAAAGCACTAAAAAAATGCCCCCCAAATAGAAACAAAATTCAAAACAAATCCTCCTCAGACCATTATTTGACTATCTTCGAATATCCCCCGCCTGGAGAGGGACACAAGCCCGACTTGCTTCTGGGCCCCTCGTGGGGCCCCACACGCCTGCCCGAGGTCGGAGCCCCCGCCCTCCCCTCGAGCCGGCGGGCCCGGCCTCCCGGCGAGGCGGCCCCCCCCCCCCCCCTCCCCCCGAGAAGCCCCGGAAGCCCCCGACGCCGTGTTTTTCTTTTCACAGCGTCAATGCCCCCAGAGGTCTGCTCAGAAGGAGGGCTGCTCAGGAGGAGGCCTGCTTCTCTTAGAAGGCGCTGGCCCTACATCTTGTCGACGAGGCCCGCACCTTCTGAGAGGCAGGGGTGCTGAAAGGAAGCCCCCCCCTCCCTCATTACCCAGACCCCCGACGTCGTGATTTTTTCACAACGTCGACCCCCCGGAGGTCTGGGCCCCTTCCCCGGGACTGGCTTCTCGTCCTGAGTCGTTTTTTTTCTGACAGTCTCACGAGGCCCGGGCAAGGGCCCCCGGAGGCCGAAGATAGCGTCAGGTTGGGCAGGCCCTGCTACAGGCGGAATTGGAAGGAAAATGAATAGTCAAAAAGTTCCCCGAAATAACAAAAACTAAAGACAAATCGTCCCCATACTATTTTTGTTTACTTTGAACATTCCTTCTGTAGAGGGGCATGCCCGACTTGAAAATAGCGAAACATCTCCCGTCGTGATTATCCAAATAGGCTTGCCGTGTAGGAGTCCTAGCTCATCATAAGTAATTGGTCTTCAGCACCCCCTCCCTTTTTCCAATGCCCCCCCCCCTTATTTCCAATGGCAACCCCCTCCCCCATCCTTTTGCCAATGGCACCCCCCTCATTTACAATGGCACCCGCCTCGTGCTTGGCTTCCTCTCCTCCCGTCCTCTCTTCGTCGTCTTCTCCTTCTCTCGCTCTTCTCCTGTCCATCTATCTGTTTGGAATCAGCGCTGGCTGATATTTTTCACAGCGCGAGGAGGTCTGGGGCCCCTGCCCCATCCTGCGCGGCAGCCTGTCGGCCCGGGCGCCAGCTCTCGTCGGTGGCCCCCGCGCAAGGATTAAGTCAGGCCTGTCCCTCGACAGGGGGAGTGTTCAAAAATAGTCCAAAAATAGTTTTGGGGACGATCTTCGACTATTGTTTAACATTTGTTGATACTCTTCCATACCTAGGCTCTGCCTAGAAGGGTTCTTACTCTCTTCGCTTAAAGGGGCCGGGCAGTGTAACCCGCCCCGGGCGGTTCCCCCAGTCCCCTGGGAGCGGTTCTCCTAGTCCTCTGGGAGCTTTAGCTTTAGCTTCAGCTTAGCTTTAGCTGAGCTTTAGCTTGGCTTCAGCTTAGCTTCAGTTTGGCTTCAGCTTAGATTGAGCTTAGCTTTAGCATTAGTTACCTTAGCTTTCGCTTAGCTGTAGCTTAGATTTACCTTAGCTCTAGCTTAGCTTAAGCTTAGTTCTAGCTTAGCTTTACTTTAGCTTTAGCTTAACTTTAGCTCAGTTTTAGCTTAGCTTTAGCTTAGCTTTAGCTTAGCTTTAGCTTAGCATTAGCTTAGCTTAAGCTTAGCTTTAGCTTAGCTCTAGCTTAGCTTTGGCTTAGCTTTAGCTTTAGCTTAAGCCTAGCTTAAGCTTAGCTTAAGCTTAGCTTAAGCTTAGCTTAAGCTTAGCTTAAGCTTAGCTTCAGCTCAGCTTTAGCTTAGCTTTAGCTCAGCTTTAGCTCAGCTTTAGCTTAGCTTTACTGTTACTACTAATGCTGCTTTCCTAAGGGTTCCAACTCTTAGGTAGGGTTGCACTGGGATAATACTTGTTGTTGTTGAACTCTCATTCTTGAAGAATAATTATTGTTGATCCCCCCACCGGTGCACATTGTTTTTTCAATTGAAGTGCCCCCCCGGGGCTCGCACTTTTTTTTTTTTTTGTAAAAAGGAAACTCTTCCTGCTCAAACTGGCCCCCTGGCCCCCAGGTTACAACAACAACGGCTCCCGCCTGAGACTTCCTCACAATTTAGCCAGGACCCCCGCTCCCGCCCGAGACTTCCTTGCATTTTACTCAAGAATCGCGCTCTCGCTTTGGACTTCCTTACGATTTATTCAGGAATCGTTCCTCCTGTCGCGCTCTCGCTGGAGACGTGCTTGCAATTTACTGAAGAATAGCGCCCTTGCGTTGGAACTTCTTGCAATTTACTCCAGCGCCGCGCTCCCGACACCCAGGCACCCAAGAGTCGCGCTCACGCTTAGGACTTCTTCACAGATTACCTAGGAATCGGGATCTCGCTGCCCTTCGTGGCCCCGTTGCAGCCCTTCGTGGCCCCCTCGCTTTGTTTCGTGGCCCCGTTACAGCCCTTTGTGGCCCCCTCGCTTTGCTTCGTGGCCCCGTCGCAGCCCCTCGTGGCCTCCTCGTTGCCCTTCGTGGCCCCGTTGCAGCCCTTCGTGGCCCCCTCGCTTTGCCCTTCGTGGCCCCGTTGCAGCCCTTCGTGGCCCCCTCGCTTTGTTTCGTGGCCCCGTTGCAACCCTTCGTGGCCCCGTTGCAGCCCTTCGTGGCCCCCTCGCTGCCCTTCGTGGCCCCCTCGCTGCCCTTCGTGGCCCCCTCGCTTTGTTTCGTGGCCCCATACATGTATGCCCTTCGTGGCCCCCGCTCGTTCGCGCCCGTGGTGGCCCCATGTGCATGCCCTTCGTGGCCCCGCTGTCGCCCTTCGTGGCCCCTCGCTGCCCTTCGTGTCCCCGTTGTTGCCCTCAGTGGCCCCGTCCTTACCCTCCGCGGCCCAACATACGTATGCCCTTCGTGGCCCCCGCTCGTTCGCGCCCGTTGTGGCCCCATGTGCATGCCCTTCGTAGCCCCGCTGTCGCCGTTTGTGGCCCCCTCATTGTCCTACGTGGCCCAGGTGCTACCCTCAGTGGCCCCATCGTTGCCTTCTGTGGCCCCGCATTATCTGCCCTTCGTGGCCCACGCTCGTTCGCACTTCGTGGCAACATACGCATTCCCTTCGTGTCCCCGCTGTCGCCCTTCGTGGCCTACTTCGTGTCCTTCGTGGCTCAGCTGTCGTTCTCTCTCGCTCTCGCTTTCGCTCGTCGTCGTCGTCGCCGTCGCCGTCGTTGCCGTCGTCGTCGACGTCGTCGTCGTCGTCGTCGTCGTGGTCGGTCCCCTGTCCGTCCCTCTTGGGGTCGGGTCGACGGTCCGCGGCCGCCCTGCCGATCAGCGCTGCCGCTGGCCAGGCCGACGGTCCGCGGCCGCCCCGCCGCTTGCCGGGGCCCGGCCTGCAGGGAAGAAAGGCATACCCCCCAAAAGGGGTTCGATCGAAGACGAAAAGGGCGGGTATCGAGGGTTTGGGGAATTCGCGTTATTCGACACTCGAGCAGATAAGGGCGAACAGTCTTAAAATGGTTGTTGTTGTTGTTGTTGTTGTTGTTGCCTACTTTTGTTTTTTCGTCCCAGATCCGCATGCAAGAGGACATGCCCGACCTAACAGTAATTGGGGGGGCCGGGAGCGCGGGAAAGCGCGGGCGCACTGAGCAGAAGCACCCTCTCGACGGCCTGGGCCGCCCCTCCCTCCTCCTCCCTCCTCCTCCTCCTCCTCCTCCTCCTCCTCCTCCTCCTCCTCCTCCTCCTCCTCCTCCTCCTCCTCCTCCTCCTCCTCCTCCTCCTCCTCCTCCCCGTCTCGCCTTCGCAATGGGAGGGCGGGGGTCGCGACGGGTCCGCGCCCCTCCTGCTGCCGTCGGGGAGCGAACGGTGACATGAGCGCAAAAACTCGGAGATCCGCGCGGATTTCTCGGATCGGCGCTGGGGCCCCCTGGCGGCGCCCCAGGCTGCCCAGGCGCCGCCCCAAGCGCGCTCCGCGCGCCAGAGAGGGGGGGGGTCCAGCGCCGATCCGACAAATCCGCGCGGACCTCCGAGTCTTCATGTGTATGTCACTGTTCGTTCCCCTACGCCTGCTTCCGAGCACGCGCCTGCCTGCTCCGGCGGCGCTCCTCCGCGCCACCCCGGAGGATCGACGATGGGGTAGAGTGGGAGCTCGACCACAAGAGACCTTCCGCTGATTTCGGTGTGGGAGCGTCACCCAGTCCATTGGAGAACCATCGAAACCCAAGAAACCCAGGGCACCCTGGAGGCAAGCAGGGTGTTTCTTGGCATGGGTTTCCACTGTAGTCCCTGCTGGGAGCTCATGTCGTCCCAAGAACGATGGGCCACTAAGGGCCACCAGAGGCCCCACAGGGGCCACTCTGAGGGCCACTAACTCAGGGGAGTCAGGGGCACTCAAGGCCCAATGGAACGCGAAGGGTCACGAAAGGCCAAGGACTGCGGACCAGTTTCGCCAACGAAGGCATGCACTCTGGAGGTCGGGCCAACATTGTGCGGCATAGGCACGGGCACTTCCAGAAACGGAAGGAAAACCCGGTGGGGCGCTGGCCTCCCGGGGCCCCCATGCGAGGCGGGGATTTATCCACATCCACCGCCTGGGATCCGACGTCCTGGTGCCCCAGCGGGCGGTGGATATGCATACATTTTGAACCCCAGGGGCCCGAATGTCTCCAGATCCACCGGCCCTGGAGGTCCGCGAAGATCGATCCACCAGGCGGCGGTTACGGACAAATCCCCGCCGCGGGCCCCAAGACGCACTGCCGCGTGCCCCGCCGCCGCCGATAGCTGCCGCGGCTGCCAGGGACCGCGCCCAAGCGGCAGCCGCGCCCCCTCGCGCCGCGCAGCGAAGTGACACGGCGGAGGTCTTCCCGGCGAAGGCTTCAGCCACCGGGGCCCAGGCAGCGACCTCCTGAGGCTTGCCCGAGGCGCAGCGTCACGACCCTTTTCCCCAGGACCAGTTCTTCATCCCGAGTATTACGTTGCTGCCATCGTGCGTTTAGGTCGGGCATGTCCCCCTAGAGGGGGATTTTGGATGAAAAATTACAAGCACCCCAAAATATACAAACAAATGCCCAAACATAATAAAAAAATCGTCCCGCGACTATTTGTTTGACTATTTGGGAATATTCTTCCTGTAGAGGGACGTGCCCGACTCAATCGTACTTGAAGACCACGTCCCAGAGATACTTTCGGGCACCCAGAACGGGATCGAAACGGCTCCCAGGGCCCGACACGTGAAAATTGTGCTCAAAGTTATATTCTGGCAATCAAGTGCATTCTTGGTGCTCGAAATGATTTTCTGGTGATCGAAGCTAAAGTAGGTTGGAATATCATAACCCGAGTCTATAGCTCATTATCCCGGGGCCCAACGAGGGCCCTCAGAGGCCGAACGCGGCGAAAAACCGCCGTCCTGACCCTGAGATCCGACGTTGCCAAAAAACTGCAACACCGCAAAAAATCACGCCCAGACCCTGGGGCCCCATCTTTCTGCATCAGTTTTCGAGCCGGATCGATCTGCGAGGGCCCTGGGGCCCGAAATCGAACGAACACGCCCGCTGTGAAACAATTGCACCGCCAGGGCCTCAGGGGCTTTGTTCAGGACGTTGGCACGTCTGGGGGCAGAAGCCCCACCGCCGATCCGGAGGCCTCTTGCCGCCCCGGGACCGGGCCGGCTCGTGGGCGGAGCGCGGCGGATCTGGCGCGCCCGAGCGCTGCAGGCGAGGAGGGCGGCCGCCACAGCGAGACGGGCCGCCCGGAGCGGGCGGGGCGGCAGCGGGCCGCGGAGCGGGCCCCGAGAGGCGCTGCGAAGAGCTCGGAGGTCGAAGCTCTCGGGCGCGGTCGTCGGTCCTCGACGGCTTTGCCAGCCTCGGGCCGCCTTCCAGCGGCCGCGCCTCGCTAAGAGCGCTCCCGGGGGGTGCCTGGCTCGTCCCGAAGGGCCGCCGGAGGCCAGAGGCATGGCCCGAAGACCAAGCTCGGCGGGGGGGGGGGAGGCACCCTGAGACCCAGGCGGCACAACTTTTCACACCGCGGGCGTTTTCGCCCGGCTTCGGGCTCTGGGACCACCACAAGTCGATCCGGCTCGATCAGCGCCGCAGAAAAATGGGGGTGTGGGGCTCCCTGGAGATCTGACATTGCCAAGAAAATGCAACACCGCAAAAAATCAACCCCGGACCCCCAGACCCCATCTTTCTGACTCATTTTTCGAGCCGGATCGACCTGTGAGGGTCCTGGGGCCCGAAATCGAGCGAAAACGCCCCTCAAGGGAAAAAATCGCAACGCCAGGATCTCAGGGTCTGGCGGTGACTTTCTCTCGGTGTCCCACCATGCTTAAGCTCGCAACGTCGGCTCTCGGGGTGGGGGCCGAGCGGCGGAGAGGGGGCGGCCGCGGCGGCGGGTGGAGCAGCGAGTGGAGCGCCGGGAGGGGTCGTGGACTACCAGCCTGACCACCCCAACCCAACCCGAAGACCCGAATTTCGTCGTCGTCGTCGTCGTCGTCGTCGTCGTCGTCGTCGTCGTCGTCCTCTCCTCTCCGCCCCCCGGCGCCCGACCCCCGACGAGCCCGGACGGCCCCGCTCCCGTCCTCTTCGCGACCTCGCCCTCGCCCGCCTCTCTGACTACCTGCCAGACCACCCCAACCCAACCCGAAGACCCCAAATTCGCCCGCATTTCGGGTTGGGGGGGTACGGGTTCCACATGCGTTTTTGCAATGTTCCCCGGCCCCCCCCCCCCCCCCCCAACTGGAGATGGAGGGCAAATCGGGGCCTTCGGGTTGGGTTTGGTGGTGAGTCGTGGCCGCGCCGCGGTGGCAAGGCAGCGCGGAGAACGGATTATCCGGGCGCCGCGACAGCAGAGCGGGCCACTGAGGGAAGCAGCACCGCACGTAGCACCAGTCATGGGCGAAGAAACACCAATCGGAACCGCTGGACTGAGCGTCTCCGCAATGCCGACCCCCACCCGTCGCGCAGGTCATCACCGCTGGGGGGTCGGGGTCGGCGTTGGGGAAGGAAGCGCCAGGGGCGGTTCCCTCAACCGAGCTGTTGTTGTTGTTTCTCCTTCGCTCCTGAAACAGGACAAAGCGAAGCGTCAAAACTGCGCTTCAACTCGCTTTAAGACAAAGCGGCGCGTGGCAACGAAAACGGCTGCCCCCCCGCGTGGCGTCCACGCAACTTTTCAGTTCGCGATAACGCGAACGTCGTCCTAAAGGCCCTAGCGTCCTTGCGAATATCAGCGCCACGATCAAGCTGAATCCTCGTTGCCCCCTCATATGCAATTCGCTCGAAAAGCCGCCTGGGCCGCTGGCCGACAAGCCCCGATAACTTCCGAGGACCTGCGACAAATTGTGAAGACTGTCAGAAAGCCTGTCAAGACCCAAGCGTTCTGACGACCGCCAAGAGACCCCGCAACTGTCCAACAATCTGGAACGGCAGCAACCTGTGAAAAAGCCGCTGGAACCTGGCGCCGACGAGGAGGGCGACGGCGACCGCGACGGCGCCAGCGATAGAAGAAGAAGAAGAAAACACTGCATCAACTACAGCGCATAGTTACCCATGAGATATTATCAAAATTCATGTTCGTGCCGTCTTCCCTTCTCCTCTGAACCGACGACGACACCAGCACGGACGACGACGGCGCCAACGCGACGACGACGCCGTCGTCGCCGCCGCAATCGTAGTCGTCGCTTCGTCGCCGCCGTCTTCGCCGCTGCATTCGCCGCCGCCGCCGCCGCAATTGCCGCCGCCGCCGCCGCCGGCGCCGCCAGCGCCGCCGCCGCCGGCGGCGGCGCCGTCGTCGTCGTCGTCGTCGTCGTCGTCGTCGTCGTCGTCGTCGTCGTCGTCGTCGTTCGTTCGTCGTCGTTCGTTCGTCGTCGTCGTCGTCGTCGTCGTCGTTCGTTCGTCGTGTTGTCGTTCGTTCGTTCGTTCGATCGTCGTCGTCGTCGGCGGCGGCGGCGGCAGCCCGCCGGCAAGCCTCCTCGGCGCGCCCGCCGCTGGAGGGCCTGCGGCCCGCCCCGCGGAGGGCCGGCGGCAGCTGCGTGGCGTCATCCGCCAGCTCCGCCTCCTCGCACGGGGGGGGGAGGGCCGCCGCCGCCAGCGCCCCACGTCCGCCTCCGCTCCTCCGTTCCCCCGTCCCGATTCCACCTCCGTTCCTCCGCACCTCCGCCGCCACTTTTCCTCCATTCCTCCATTCCTCCATTCCTCCATTCGTCCTCCTCCTCCTCCTATCCCTCCTCCTCTTTCGGGCATTCTACTCTACGCGACCCTTTGGGGTCATTCTCCTAAGGCAGAAGGATTCCTCGACATCCTGATTATATGGCTGGTTTCGCATCTCATGACTTTCTGACCATGCCTTTCGTGATGTGCTTGCTCTTCCTCTTCTGCGTTTTCCAGGTTCTAACCTACGACCGGTTGTTCCTTCCTGCTGTACACCTTGACGAAGAAGAGTCACGATTGCGTCGGGTTGGATTACTTTCCAGGCGCACCCTTCATGCCAGCGGCGCAGTGAGCTCATGGTCGCCGTATTTCGCATGGGCTTATTGGTCCTTGACACGCTTTGGAGCGATCGTTTGCACATCTTTCGCAGAACATTTGCACGCTCCTGACTTGGTGTTGCCGTTCTTCACGCTTTTCGGTTCATTCCTTGTTCTCTTGTTTGTTCCAGGTTCTAACCTACAATTATTTGTTCCTGCTGTACAGCTTAACGACGAAGAGTCTGGCCAGTCGGAGTGCGTGCGCTGCTGGGCGTCTGAGTCGATGGAGCCTGAGCAAGACTATCCCAGCGCCGGCGAGGAGCCGAAGGAGCCAGAGTCTGCATGCGGCAGCCTGCTTGCGAGGCAGGCTGGACTGGCGCTCTTCCAGAAGGCCAAGGCGGAGGAGTGGTTCCAGGAGGAACTGGCGCTGGCCTCTGCTGCGGCCTCGGCGGCCGCGGCGGACGCAATCTCACGTTTTCGGCGCAGGGCTGCGGCTACTCGAGGGGAGAGCTGCTGGTGCAAGCGCTCAGGCGCTGGAGGCTGTGCTGCCATGTGCCGTGTGGCCCGGGCTGCCGGCTGGCTCGCCTTAGGGCTGCTGGCGTTAGGTCGGGCATGTCCTCCTACAGGCGGATTTGGGACGAAAAATAAAACATAGTCAGAGAATACTCAAAAATAGCCCCCAAAAAAGAATCGAAACATCGTCCCCAGACTATTTGTTTGACCATTCTTGAGTATTCCTCCTGTAGAGGGACGTGCACGACTTCATGCTGGCGGGCTCGGGGCGCCTTCCAGCCGGCGGCGCCGCTGGTTAGGCCGAGTGGGGCTGTGACCCAGCGTGGGATGCCCAGAGACATACTAGTACTACATGTTCCTCTTGGAGGCGCGCGTCCGACCCGAACATGTAGTATATGAATATTGCAGCATATCGTTTCCCGAGCGGTGTGGCCAGAAAGCGCCCACCACGACGCATATACTATAAGACTTCTCGGTGCGCGCGTCGCGGCGATGCACATATAGTGTTAGTACGGTAGAGGGAAACACTTAGTGAACACCCCCCCTGCACCCCAAACTCAAAATCGGCACGCGCGGGGGAGACTGCGGTCGAGGTGCAATTCATCAGACCCACCGACAACTTTGAACATTGGGGGGAGGGAGAGGCGTTGACAGATGAATGTGGCATGAGTGTTCGCTATTCTTTTCCGAGGCCTGTATGTCTGTGTGCTAGGGTGAAGCCGACAACGGCTCGAGAGGACGGAGCCCAGGCAGCGGCGGCGGGAGGCCCCCTGCCCCTGCCCCTGGCTGCCGGCTGGCCCTGGCTTGGCTGCTGGCGGGCTCGGAGCCAACGCACCCCGGCCCTCGGCGGGATCTGAGACCGCCGGCAATTTCCGGCCGTGCCCAGTCCATTCCGTTCGGTTCACTTCCCTCTCCTTCCGCCTCATCCTTATCGTCTTCTTTTGTTTGTTCTTCTTCCTCTTTTGAGAACTAATATTAGCATTCGTAGTATTATTCGTATCATTCGTAGATTATAGATTCTCATTGTTACTATTCACGCTATAATGATTCGTATTAAGAAAGCTTATTAGTACTGGTAGTATGATTACTAGTAGTATGAGTATTATTATCACCGCTCGTCTCAGTATCACTACAAATACCAATGCAATCAGCATCACCATTATCATTCGTATTCGTCTTACCATGACTAACATCATTATGACGACTATTCGTTTGGATATTAGCATTGAGATTATTATTCCTGCTCCTTTCCTCCTCTTCCACCAGGTCCTCCTCCCCCTCCTCCCCTTGTGAAAACCTTCAGCGATCTCCAAATACTTTAGCATGGGAGCCCCGAGTACCGCCGGCAATGTTTACCAACGCCGTAGGCCTTCCCCCCCGACGTGCCCGCGCGGCAAGAGTGGAAGAGGAGGGAGGGAGGGGAAAAAGAGGGGAGGGTACGGAGGACAGGAGGTAGCAAGAACCTCACGAGGACGACAACAACGACCAGGGCGAGGCTGACGGAAACGCCGAACGACGAAAACGTCGATCTTATCCATCCCAGCGTGGCCGATGCAGAAGGTGATGCGGCACAGCCGTCCGATTCCATCCAGTCTTATCCAACCCAGGTTGCCTGCAAAGAAGACGACGCCGACGACAGCAGACGGCAACGGCGAACAACGAACGACGACGACGACGACGAACGACAGACGACGACGACGACGACGGCGACGAAGAGGAGAATGACGCCGACAACAACGACGACCGAAAACGACCGGCGGAGACGACGACTGCGAAAACGATGTCCGAGGTCATTGGGAGGCTCCTCGCCTCGCCGAGGAAGGCCGAAGGAGGAGGAGGGACGGGTGAGGGACGTATGGGGGATGGGGAGGAGGCGGAAGGGATAAGGAGGGGAGGAGGAGGGGGAGAAGGAGGAGGAGGAGGAGCAGCAGGAGGAGGAGGAGGGGGAGGAGAGGAGGAGGAGGAGGAGGAGGAGGAGGAGGAGGAGAGGGAGGAGGAGCGAAGGAGGAGGAGGAGGAGGAGGCGGAGGAGGAGGAGGAGAGGAGGAAGGAGGAGGAGGAGGAGGAGGAGGAGGAGGAGGAGGAGGAGGAGGAGGAGGAGGAGGAGGAGGAGGAGGAGGAGGAGGAGGAGGAGGAGGAGGAGGAGGAGGAGGAGGAGGAGGGGGCGGAAGGGACCAGTGTAAACCCAAGAGTCATGAATGATGTTGGAATCAACCCTCCCTCCAAGCTCCCTCTTCATAGGCCCCTACGACGGTTCACTTCCACTGAAGGAACTGCCTTGCTGGAAAACGACCGTTCGAAGACCCTGAAGGATGCCAAAACATTGTTCTCGGGATTCCAACGCCACGAAACAACATAACTAATGCGTCGTGACGATCCTGAGTCGTACCAAAACGCTTTTCCTGGGACTTCAACACCACGAATCAACGTAACTGTTGCGCCCTGATAATCCTGACTCGTTTCAGAAAGCCAGTTCTGGTACGTTGACCATGGGAGCCCGTGATACTATTGCCAGCATTTTTTCTTGTATATATATATATATATATATACACATATATATATAACAAAAAACGAATGTGCGCGGCGCGAAAGCGACAGCCGTATTTTGAAAAAGGAACCGCCCGTCAATCCGCAAAACTCTTGGGACCTTTTTTTATAAAGAAAAAACGAATGTGCGCGGCGCTAAGGTGAGAGCCACATTTTGAAAACGACACGCCCTCCATCTGTGAAGCTGTTCTTGGCCTCTCCGGCGCTTTGCTCAGTGCTCGGCAGTGCCTCCGCGGCACGGCTGACTCTCTCGTCTCGAGGCCGGAGGCCTCGCAGAGGCTGGCGAGCTCTGCGTGGGGCTGCCGCGTTGTCCCCCCCTCCTCTTCCTTGGTTGGTTGGCTGATTGGCCTGCTGCTCTCGCCGTGCTCGGGCCGGTGGGGCGACCAGCGTTCTCAGGAGGGGGGTCCACCCCAGACGGCCGCCAACAGTGCGTGGCGCCGCCTGCTCTCGTGCGGGCAGTGCCCCGAAGGACGGGGCGACAGTCTGTGGGCCCGTGCCCCTATGACGCCCTCTGCTGGCCTGGGTGGTGCACTCAGGTCGCAGGGGCGGAGAAGGGGGCGGGAAGGGTCTTCTGTTTTTCCCCAAAGAGCACCTCGCCTTCAGCGCCGGTCACGTGTCACGCGCGGTGCCCTGCTCTCGTCATGCTGCCGCTTCTGGTTGGTTGATTGGCTGGAGCCCCGCACTCCGCCGCAGCGGCCCTGCGGGGGGCTCCTCTTCAAGGCGAAATGCTCCGCCGTAGATTGCCCGCGCAGCGCCGCAACAGCCCTGGGGGGGGCCGCTCTGCAGGGTGTAACGCCCCGGCGCGGGTTGCCCACGCAGCGCCGCGACAGCCCTGAGGGGGGCTGCTCTGCTGGGCGCAACGCCCTGGCGCAGGTTGCCCACGCCGCGCCGCGGTAGCCCTGAGGGGGGCCGATCTGCAGGGCGTTGCGCCCTGGCGCAGGTTGCCCACGCAGCGTCGCAACGGCCCTGAGGGGGGCTGCTCTGCAGGGTGTAACGCCCTGGCGCCAGATGCCCGCGCAAGTGCCCTGCGGGGCTGCATTGCTGCATTGGGGTTCGGGTTGCCGTGGCGCACCGACCCTGTGGGGCGCTGCTCTGCAAGGCTCTGCGGGCCCCTCGTGGCGCGGTGGCTTTGCGGCGCCAGCCCCGCGGGTGGCTGCTCTGCTTGCCCATGGCTTTGTCCGAGGGCATCCCATTCCAGGGCCCCTGCTCGGTGTGCCCGTGGTCCGCGGCGCGCCGGCCCTGAGGGGGGCTGCTCTGCAAGTGCGAGCCACTCGTGGCGCATCATCCCTGCGGCAGGCTGCTCGGCTTGTCGGCGTGCCCGTGGCTCGCGGTGCACCAGTCCAGAGGGGGGCTGCTCTGCGCGGCCCCGCTGGCAACCCGCGGCGCTTCTGCCCTGCGAAAGGCTGTTTTCGAGGCCCGAGGTAGGCCGCGAGCGCGCGCGTTCTGGAGAGTCCGCCGCTGCCAGCCACTATATGTCCGTAATCATCTGGGCCCACAGCTTCCAGCCGCGAGCTGGCATTGGCCGGTATTTC